ATTGTATATTGTTATTCTTTCTATATTTTGTACTTATATTGAAGTTTTTGTGTTTGCTTCTGATCTGTATATATGTTGTTTAAATTTGATCTTTAATATGGCTACAGCCATATTTGGATTGATGCAGTGGCCGCTGGACTTAGCGTCACTTATCTATCACTGTTTCTGATACTCTTCGGAGTAATTGTATCCTGGAAGAGGCATTAATTCCAGGTAATGCTTTGTATTTCCATGTTTTTATTTAAATAAGACGCTTTCTCCTAGAATTTTTGTCCTTTTTGATTTGTTTGGACCTGGGACTGGGAGAATCGTACAGGAGTGCACCTATTGGAACCCATTGGAACGGCCACTGTAGAAATTCATTTACACTCAGGGCTTTTTATTGATGCATCACAAATAACTGCTAGTTTTTAACTTTTTATGCAAAAATCCTCTTATTATTTTTTGAACTTTGTTTTTCTTCGTAACTTTTGTTTGACTGATTTTGTTGCTGTTTTAACCTACCAATATTATTATCGATTCAAACCAACCCAAATCGGGCGATAGCTTTAAATACTGTGAATTCATAATCACTAGAGGTTAACCTGCGATTGCTGATTTTCAAGCAACTACTTCTAAGAGGAGTACACCGTGTTCTTTTCACACAGTTAGAGTTGAACAGCATCGATCTAAACTATAGGTGGTCTGTCTACTTTAAATAAAAATATTAAATGTTTTTAGCCAACTAGAAGAACTTGATACTATTTCGGAGAAAGAAAAGAAATAAAATGCCGCACTGAATTCGTTTTAGTTTAAATGTGTAGGGAGCCATCAATGTGAAAGCAGAGTGCGAATGAGTTCAAGCGTGCAGGGGAATCAGTGCAGCCGGAAAATTTATTAAGAAAATTTACAAACGCCTGTGGTCCATCTGCCATGCCTATTATCTAGGGCAAGCTGTCGCATATCAGTGCATACTTCGTGAGGAAGACGTTTTCCCGAGCTTTTGATTTATAGGACTCAAATTGGAAAGTAGATGCTTCATCTGGAAGGTTGTGTTTATATGGGCCATGGATAAGGACTACACTACAAGAGGAGAATTTGAGTTTCTGCAGGAGCTCGAAGTAAATGATACGTTTAAAATTGAGTCTTCTTTTCCTGGCTGGTTTAAGTCCAATTTCATGATATCGGGTGGAAAAGTTATTGAGTGAGTTATCATATTTGAAGATAACAGGGGAATAATGCACAGAATAGAGTTTTTACGGGTTTATCAGTGTTTTCATTTTGTTCATATTTGTATGAAGAGAACTAACGTTTTGTACTGGTGGTTTGATTCTGCACAGTTTCTGGTGACCGATCACAAACACAGATTCATGGTTTAAAGCTTGCTGAGCCTATTAATGTGAATCAGTGTAACAGAGCGTTTCAAATGGGTGTGAATTATTTCGTCACTTTTATAACCCTCATGAAATTTTTATGTTCCGTACTTGAGTAACACCAAACCACTGTACAAATGACAACACCGAACGTTAGACTCCCACCGTTCAAAAATAAGAAGACTGAAGACGTTGGAGAACACTTATTAACAGAATCAAAAATATACAATCCAACATGCGTATTTATACAATTATACATATAATCGATATTGTCATTTAAATATTTGAATATTAAATCAAATAGTTCATCGATCGACTGCCCTTGGAATATTTAAGCATTTATTCGATAAGTTCATCAATCCACAATATGCTTGGCTTTCTTCTCGATTGGCTATCCCAACAGAAACGCTACCAAACTCCGAATAGTCATAATAACATTGAAGAAAATACCTGGACTCGAATTTCTGCACTCTATCAACCATGAGAAAATTTCCTTTTTATGGACCTTGATTAGAAGTATTATGCAATTTATTATAAGTCTTTTATCTCCACGAGAAACGACATCAAAAAGTTCAAGTTGTGAATCATCATCCTTATTAGAGAGGGCCATCTTGTCAAAGAGGCGTCAGATTTAAACTACAAACAACATACGATCACGCTGTACTTCTATTCTTAATAGTGAAATAAACACATACGTGCCCAGTTATTGGTTTATAATATAATTCGCATGCTTAAACATACGTTAACCGATCTTCAGATCAGCAAGCTAGACCTAGATACCCGTACAAGGGAACTCCTCGCGATCATCAAGTATAATCTGCCTATATTTACCTGATAACCTTCCTTGAATGTTTGTTTTCTTATCCGGAGTAAGTAGTCAGTACAAAATCCCAGTTTCTAGCAGCAAAACTGTGAAATAGCTGAAACAGTCATTCTGAAATGAAACTCGTAGTAATAAGCACAACTAAGATCATTCAGATCAAACATACCTAAACACGGCAACACTGTACTAATGAAAATAGCATTTGTTCTCAAATAAAATGTTACAAGAGGCATGCCAGTTTATAGGCAGCATCAAAATCTTAAAATCGCTAACATATTTTCTGTAAAATATTGTTCAGTTCCTTAAATACTTCATAAGATACATTGGCTTAGTATAGATGGCTAGCATTTTCTACATAAAACTGTAGATAATGTTTCAGGCTCTGCAATGTACAACGGGATAATTAGCGCAAGTTACGAAGGGTAGGTTACGACGAACCACAAATGGCTGAAAACCAATAGAAGATAAATCCAGGTCTGCTTATAACAAGAACTGATGAGGTATATGTGCAAAGACCTTGTTGATATCCGTCAGATAATAAATTTACAGGCTCCCGGGTAAAGTATGCAAGACTTCGGCAGATTCCGACATCTTATGAGACTAGTAAGCAAAAAAATTGGAAAGAGGTGTAGAATCTTTTTTGAATGTTTTGTTTTTTGGAAAATCCCTCCATGTTTATATATTTTTGTCATGACATGACGGACTCTTTCTGTTGACATTTTGGTATTTTATTTGATTCCAATTTGAGATTTATCATTGTATATTGTTATTATTTCTATATTTTGTACTTATATTGAAGTGTTTATGTTTGCTTCTGAACTGCACATATGTTGTTTAAATTTGATATAATATGGCTACAGCCACATTTTTGGATTTGATATCGTTGCGCTATACGAGTTTCACCTGGTCTCCGGAACCTGGATACTCATTCACAGTAATTTTGAATTGGAAGACGTAAAATTTGTTAGGTAACGTTTGTATTTCCATTTCTTCTCTATAAAAAGACCACTTTCTCCTAGAATTATTGTGTTTTGATATTCGAATAACGAAGGGTGCGTATAACGTACGTCTATTGGAATCGAATTGAACTGCTACGGTAGAAAATCCAACTACAAGTGGTGTCTTAAAATTGAAACACCGCGGAAAGAAAAAGACAATGATTTTTGTGTCGTTCGTTTGTTGCCAGGTGGAACGAAATACTTTAGCAGCGTATGGGTTCACTATCACTGTAATACTACACTGCCTAGGCAGCACTATAGGTTCTCGTGTGCTTGACGACCGTGTAGAATCACCAAGAAAATAAAACTGAAAAATGAAAAATAAAAAGCCTCATCGAAAATTCACCTACCTATCCCCACTAGGAAACTTAATCCACTCAACAAAAACAGGCAACTAAAGCGACCGCACTCGAGCCTATACACCCACGACATCACATGTTGTCGTGAGTTCCTCATTATCTGTTAAAAGTACAACACAGTGGATAAGCACACAAAAGGCAAATGGTAACACCATAACAACCATAACTCTACAAACCAAGGACAAGACAGGACAAACAAAATTCACCGATATGATGAGCGGTAAATTGGAAGCGTTTAGGCATATGCTCTTATACGGAAGTTAAGATCATAATGCTGAATGAAACCTGACTAGTCCTCGACATAACAGTCGACGAAGTTAGCTTGAAGGCTGCGCTGGGGCAAACAACACGACCAAGAAAAAGCAGCTTTTACTCTCCTCATGGTCACGAGAATGATGGAGCCTAATAGGAGATGATCAATAGTAAATTACACAACTAGAAAGAGAACATGAGATAAGCTAAGTACTGAACGCTTGTTACAGGCAGAAAACAAAGGCTGTTAAAATTAAAAGTCTCTCTGAACGATTTCCACTGTAGTTCTTGCTTGGCAATGAGAAACAGATGCAATACCGAAATTCGGACAGACTACCAGACCAAGCTGGCAGCTAAAATACAGGCAAACATAACAAATCTCTCTCAGTTCATGACTGAAGGAAAGCCTACGAATCAGATAGTATGTTCTGTCAACGGTCCAAATGGTGATCTCATGGACTCAGAGATGTATGAGATGTTTGTTGACTACTTCATAGACCAGTTAAGCCAGATACCTACAATTTCGAAGCACTACTCAAACCTAGAGTCCTCTAACGGCCTAGGGAATATCCGACTAACACACAGCTAAGTACTGAGAAAACTCAAATCTGTGCGTCCAGTTTAGACATCAGGGTGTGATAATATTCTCACATAATCTTGAAAGATCGCAGAAGCTTTCAGTTCACTGATACGAAACCTCTTTGGGCGTGTTGTGGAGTCACACCAACCTCCAGCTGAATGAAAACAGATAATTCTATATGGAAACTCAACTAATGCTTAAAGAGGTTTCCAAAACAGGTGCCACTAATCAACTTGGCTCAGGAACTACTTCGGGATCAGGGAGTTTCATACTAATGCAAATTGTGTACAATGCGTAGAGAACCGGGACCACTTGGTACAATCATCCCGAGTTCTTCTTGACCCTCGACCTGGTGATATAATAGCCGATGGTATCCAGAAACTATACTGTCCTGAGACAAGCGCATTCACTCAAATCACGGGACTTACGAATTCATGAGGAGCTGTCAACTGGTTGGAATTAGTGCAGTCAAATGGCTAGACTCCCACTTATTGGACATTGTCAAATACCTAGAATCGTACCGAGGGAACAAGAAGCAGGTGCGAAGAAGTCAATCAGTTTATACCAGCTTGTGAAAATGATATTGGATATTGTCCTCTACTTTGCCTTGAAGGTCATTAACCGCCATTGTTTGACATGTCAGGCTTCCAAGGTAAGTTGGGCGTTAATGTCTTAGCTTCCCAGAAAAATGCCGGAAACTTTATATCGGTGGTTTAGTAGAAAATGTGCTCAAAGATGATTTAGTTCGCGAATTGTCTAAATGCGGTGAACTAGTCGATGTGTGGGTCGCCAGAAACCCACCGGGATTCGCATTCGCCGAATATGTCAAATCATCGGATGCCGAAAAAGCAGTGAGATCTCTTGATGGTGTCAACGTTTGTGGCTCACGAATCAGAGTCGAGTTTGCTCACGGTGGTCGTACTAAAAGCGGTAAGCACTTTTAAACGTATTTGAAGGATGGACTACGAATTACTTGTACAACATAACCGCTTCGTCTTCATTCTAATTCAGCTATGGGGTCAGCGTTTCGTGGGGCTCGATCAGGTGGCAGGGGTTCATTACGACGTCGAAATTCTCCTCGTCGCAGTAACAGAAATTCGTCATACGACGGTCACCGTTATCCTGATTACGACCAGTTTTCTTCCCTTCACTCTTCAGAACTGGCCAGCGCTGCTGCTGGCTCAGGTTTCCCCTACGGGATATCAGGTTATCAGTCCATGCTACCATTTCTCCCATCTGAGGAATTCATACGGTCCCTACAAAGTCAGTCACGTCGTCGTTCATCTCCGGGGAGAATTCCGTTTCCAGTGAATCAAAGAGGACACTCTCCGATTTCACGACGAAGGTAATACTTTCTACTAGTGCTCACTTCCTTAGTACTAACTTCGCTATCCATCTGGAACTTTTAGTATCTTTATGTCGTCTCACATCACTAGCAGACTACTGCATCTGTCGATTTATGCTAACATGAGAGGTTCGTCAGCAAAATTGTTCAAACTCGAAGTTTGGGTTAAGAAGTAATCTCGGAAACATTAAGCGATATCGTCACATCGTGGGACCATCGAATTAGCAGCATTTAGATTCGAAGCTTCTGTTCTCACTAGTGTGAAAGCCAGAAGGATTTTAAACATTCACACAATATTAGGCTGACATCGAGACTTTGTTCTTGCAACTTGAAATGCTATCTGATTACTCCACTCCAGCCAATGTAAATCTAACAGAAAACTACGTCTATTCTTGAGCAAGTCACCTAGATTTCAAAATTTTAATTTCAGAATTTTAGTCTACGTACACAAAATTTGATTTCGCATTCAAATATCCGTAAATTTAACTTGAAATTAAGTCTCTTCATTGCTTTATACCAACTGTCCAACGCGCTGTCGTGGTTTCTACGATGCTTATTTTTGGTTTCTTTTAGGAGTCGAAGTCCACTAGGTATTCCAGTGGGAAGACCTCGAGGCCGGAGCCCTCCAGAATCATATGACGGTAGGAGTATGAGCCGCCACCTCGATACCCGCGGTCGTGGAGGGTACAGCGACTATTCACGCCCTCGAATTCCGCGGGAGCCTCGTGGAAACTATTCACCACCTTTTGTGAGAGAGATGAATGGGAGACGTGATGAATCACGTGGACGAAGAGGCCGAGATGATCGTCGCCGACGTTGAGAATTGATATTGGATTCTGAGACAAACATTTCGTAAATTTGTATTCAAATGATATGAAGCTAAATGCATTTAGTTCTTATCCTAACATCTAGTTCTCAAAAATTTGTTGATTCTGGTAGGCACTGTTAAACGTCGTCGACCTAATTGAACGATAGCTTCGTTGTTCATCATCGCTTTGCTTCCCATACTGTATTACCGGCTGTTGAACTCTTTACATTCGTATTCATAGATGAGAATTAAATTAAAAATTCCTACGTTAAAACACCCTTTTGGTCTTCTCATCCGTACATTTGCACTCATCGTGATGACCTAGTGACGTTTACTCATTGAGTGAATCTGTCAGCATATACTAGATGCAACTGTTTGTTGTCGCATGCGCAGTTACTTTGCCTTGTTACTGCAGTTCTCAGTGTGTTTCTCCAACAAGACTACACACTCATTTCGAAAACCGTGCATCTTATTACGCTTCATTTAAGTGGTCTTAATGTAAGAATGTCCGAACTATTAGTTGTCGTTTCAGTGTAAATTACTGGAAATACCACTTCACTATTCATTAGCTATATATCTAGTGGGAATATTGACTCTCCGTGCATCCAACAATCACAAGATTACTGTTGTAAGGGTAGAAGCCACCGTAAATGTCTTTGCACCAAAAAAAGCTATTAACAATGCAGTATTTGATCCAGGCTCATTTCTTAAATGCCTTCCTACTGCGTCTAAAATGCGAAATGAGTTGGCTCTGCAACTTTCGGAGTTTCGAGTTTTTGTATTTGTGGATGTTTAGCCTTTCGAAATCTCCGATGTCCAGCTATGTAAACTACTTAGAGATAGATCAGTCGTTGAAACTACGGTGTGCTGGTTGGATATCTAATAAGTGGAATGATGATCAAAAGCCGTCTCAATTTCTTGTGTTTAAATCACGAAACTGCTGATATTGTAGAAATCGTTACCATTTGGAGTGTTACTTTAACGTTAATCACCCCGACGCTATTGTCTCTATCAATATCTATATATTTTCAGCATAAGTTTGGAACATTCAAGGGCTGATTTGCACCAATCAACCAAAGTATCGAGTTGTTTACTGATCTACGCCATACAAATTTTCGACTAGGAAAGTCCTGTATTATGAGTAAAGAATATGGAGCAGTCGCTGTAGTTAAATCGTCGTTCCAGAGTACTTATCATCTTGATCAAATTAATTAATTAGTGGTTTTGTTAGATATTTGATCCTTCTGGACCTGAATTCGAACATGATAAAATGTTGAATGCTCGAACACAGTAGGCTAGATTCATCTAAAAGGCCAACAGCACATGAAACAGTATTTGTAGTTCATAAAATGGCAAAATTATGGAGTAAAGATCTGTGAATTAGTTTTATCAATTACATAGTTCATATTCCAGTCGACCGATTAGATAATTTATTGACTTCTAAGTTCTGTGCGCGAAATTTAGCTAAATGAGGTTGAAACTTTAAAACCATTGTATTGCGTTCTCAGGATAGCCAGGCTAAATTAAAGTCCCTCAAAAAGCCTAGCAATGTGTTATTTGCACCTATTCCCATCATTTTTCAACAATCTAAGGATCCGTCGTTTTTAACTAACGGAGGTCTATGAATCAATGTTATAGTTTTGGCAGTTGCATATTTTTTTGGGAATTTTGGTTTTGTTTCGTTATTTACATGGTACGCATAAATATTGATACAGCTGGGTACCGAAATAAATTTGCACCACATGAATTAAGGAATGCAATTGTGAAGAGAAGGAGAATACGGTCAAAAATGAACGACAATAAAACAAGCGACAGAGAATAATGTGCAAAATAAGATATCTTCCAGTTGAAAATATGATCATGAAAACGTCCAATTGAGTGGGTCTCTCATCACGAGAAATATGAAAGAAAACTGCATCGGGACGCTTCTGGCTTCTATTCAGAGTCGTATCTAATGACGTTTCAAGTCAGTGAGTTACATCATCTGTAGGACCTCAACCAGGAAATGCTCACGAATAGTGTTCTAGACTGCACATTCTTAACTAATAGAGATTCACTGCAACTTCCATGTTTTACTATCATATGTATAACCAAAGCCAGGTGTGAAGTGATTCCTACTCTCAAGATCTTTTTCAAACAGCCATCCCAGGAACTTAATTGAGAAATATAGAAACATTCAGAACCACGTAGAGAAACTGACTACCAAACTTTTTATGTATGGGAAAGGTTTATTTGTGTCAACAACTTTCATCGACTCGTTCTTTTCTGTGTTTAGTTTGTCGTTTTTCGGTGGTTTCTTTGTGTTTGCCAATATAAATATTGAGTGAATTTTGAGTCATAAACAGATTCCCATTATGCATTACGCATCCTATAAGTTTGAAGCGACTTACCTTACTGTTGATCGAAGTGCTATAAGTTCAACTAATTCCTGACTTAAGTGTTGGAAATAAGCAGAGCAGGCTTCTGATCGTCGGCTCATCTACTGTAAATCGACTGCTTTGATAAATCAACCACCTAATCACCAGCTCTAGTTAATGCAATTGCCAGTTCTGTCGACCCTCCATGTTTAACTGTTAGGTCCTCAAATTTTGCAAGAATCATATGTACTACGCATACTTTTCTATAGGTAGTATCTCCGTTCAGATAATATATTATATTATCGAATCTGCTAACCGTTTTCTATTAGAGACAATATGCGGTATACCTTACGTGCCGTGATAAGAAATGTCATTTTTTATTTTGTTGATTGTCCTCATTCGATCAATATTCTCGGACTGCAATGCATTTTGTTGTTACTCGTTCAGTTGAAAGGAAAATCTAGCCGAGTAAAACTACCCTTAATTGGAACTCAAGTGAAACGAACAAATAATCAAGTTCCTGGATGGTCATCATTCAGTCAGTAAACGGCAAAAGTTAAGAATATAACAAAACCATTGTATCTTTCACACCTACGAGTCGTGTGTTCACTTGAAAATACCAACAACAACTAAATTTATTTAGCCCAATGTTTGTAGCTTTATTATTCTGCGATTTAAGTTATTTCAAAAGCCCGACCAATTCGAACTCATGATTCAGACCTTAGGCACTGAATGTCAGTACAGTTGTATTTTTATTCTTTAAAAATCCAGTGGCAGTTTATCTCCACTTGGCTAATGTTTTCAAAGTACTTCTGGACATCATTTTTACGCTCCTTGCATTTGTGTAAATTTATTAACTTCAATAGTTAGTAGTTGTCTGTTTACTCAGTTTTGGTTATTTTGTATGTCTTTCCAGAATAAGCTTGAACCATTTTAAGTTCATCAATATTCGTCAAATAGGTATGTTTTCTTTAATAATGTCATGTAATTCATACGGATTCGGATACCTCAAAACTAAAAACTGCTAACGTCTTCATAACCTCTCTTGATTTCAACTTTCCATTGACTTGTGAGACTTATATATGCATTACTTGGTCCTGTCGTTTTATGTTGCCTACCTAGACAGGTTTATCAATAGTAATAATTACTCACAACCACCTAATTGGTATTGATTTATGATACATTCAGAAGCTATTTATTTTGTTTTTAGCATTTCTTTCACATATTACTTTAAAACGTGGTCAGGACTCATACTAGGGTTTTATTATGTTGCTTCCTTACTCACACAGGTTACCCCTAATAGACAATAGGCCACCGACCAGCATTCTCCAATCAACTCTGTTCTGAGCCTTTTTTCCAGTTCTACACAATCGCTATTTATTCTTTTCATGCCTGACTCCGATTCTCGGATCAGTGTGTTTTCTGGTCTACCTCTTCGCCCTTAACCCTGACGGTCCCAAGTTAAGGCTTGCAGTTAAGTGATTTTCACGATGCATGTCCTATCCATTTCTAGCACTTTCGCCTAATTTCCTCCTAATCTGGTTTGTTCTCGCCTATAGTATCCTGCTGCTCATCGTGTCTGGCTAATGGAGGAGTACCTTGCTTAGACAACCGTTAATAAACACCTGTCTTTTGTATGATGGTTTTCGCAGTTCTCCAAGTTTCCTCTCCATACAATAGAACTCCTGATGTTTGTACTGAAACTTGTGTCTTCCATGTTAATTGACATTTGTTTTGAGTGACAGATGTTCTTCAGTAGTAGAAATGTTGCCCTCGCTTTGCCGATCCGCGCCTTTACATCTGCATCAGATCAACCGTGCTCATCAATTATGCTGCCCAGATATGTGAAGGTTTTTACATCTTCCAAAGCTTCACTGTCGAGCGTGATTTGGTTGGTGCATGTTGTATTGTATCGGAGAATGTCGCTTTTCTCTTTGTGTATGTTGAAACCTATTTCTGCTGCTACGCTTGTCGTCTTTTGCATTTGTTGTTGCATATGCGACGTAACAGCTAGATTAACTACGAAGCCCAAACTGTATTCCATGCTTTCCGTGAGATGTTGACGTCTTCATGATGCAGTCAATCACCAGACGAAAGAGAAAGGGTTAGGAGTAAGCAACCTTGTCTGACACCGGTTTTGGATTGGAATGAGTCTATAAGCTGCCATCCATGTACGACTTTTCAATTTAATCCATTTTAAGAATTCCGTATGATGTTGACTATCTTCTCAGTCCCGCCGTAGTGTCGAAGAAGAGTCATGTTGGTAGATGTAGGCTACGTGTTTGGGGTCCGTGAAACAATAGTAACCGATGGTTAGAGACCCTGAACGACATTGCTCAAAAGCGTTTGCAATAGCGCAGATGCATCCACTCTTTGTGTTCTCTGAAATTCTAATCTTCTGAATTCCTTTCCTTTACCTTTCTCTTTCTAAATTTATCTCACTAAATTATACTTCTTGAATAATTTCTTTAAACCGTAATCTTCCCCGTTGCCAGTAATACTTCTACTATCTCTACCACTATGAGATTTGAACAGACAATTGCGTCTCTGTGCTAACGTGGTATGGCAACCTGAACTTATATACTTACGGACGAAGTTCTACGTTGTAACTGACTGACTGACTGAATTCAGCAGTTAAGTAATTGGTATTAAAAT